TCGTTTTTTTTTTTTTTTTGCGCCAAGAATGTCTTTGGAATGCTGCTTCAATTTGTAACATTTGGGGGTTTCTAAGCCATTAATTATGTTATGTCTTTGAATTTTGAAGGTACCAATCATCAAACTGACAGATCAGGAGACCGAGGTGAAAGTGGACATTAGTTTTAACGTGGAGACGGGCATCAAAGCTGCTAGCTTCATCAAAGAATATGTGAAGGTAAAACGGTTTTAGCATATTTTGAAATTCTAATTTAACAATTTTGTAAAACTACACTAATGTATAGTTTCAAAAGTGGCTTCAACTGACTATTGTTTGCTTGCTTGTATTTATTGCAGTGCTCATTTGTCCATTTTTTGTTTGTTTTAGTTGTAGTATTTCTAATTTTGATAAATTACTAAATTTAAAGGACATGTCATTCAATCATTTTAGTCCATTTTACTTGCTAAAATAGCATATCGCTTTGTTTTAGTCTCTAAAAATAACATTTTAATTGACATTATTTGCAAAGTGACAGCACGTCAAACTGTAGCAGACAATTGAGTATTTACAAGTTTTGACAATTGTTACTGAATTCATCTTGAGATTTCTATTACATGCTTTGTTAATCCTGAACAAAGTCACGTTTTCCACAAAAACATTAGCAGCACAACTGTTTTCAATATTGATGATAACCAAATTATTCTAGTAAGCTGATTTGGTGCTCAAAAAAACACCACACACACACACACACACACACACATTTCTGAAGGATCATGTGACACTGAAAACTGGAGCAATGATGCTGAAAATTCAACTTTTCCATCAGAGGAATAAATTACATTTTAATATTCAAACAGAAAACAGTTCTTTTTAAATTGTAATAATATTTCACAATATAATTGTTTTACTGTATTTTTTTTGGTCAAATAAATTTTATTTTTAGTTCTAGTACAATTTAGTCATGTCATATTCAATATTTTAGTCCATTTTACTTTCACTGAAATGCCATATAGCCTGAAGCATTTTTCTCTGTAAAAGTGATATTTTAGTTGCCTATGATTTGCAAAAAGATGAGAACATATCAAGCTGAAACAGACAATGGAGTGATTACAGCCCTAATGACACATTGGGACTAATATAATTTAGTTCAACTTTGCATGCTTCCTTTTCTTTGTAAATGTAAGTTGTAATTTTATGTCGTGACTATAGCAGATTAATCTTACATATATGATTGTGTTTCAGTGAACAAAAGCAAAGTCTTCAGCTCTTTCACCTCATGTAGGCAATTCCCAACAGAGTTATGGTTGAATTTTTGCATAAATCTTTCTACATTTTCTTGTGAAAACATTGTATGGGCCTTGGGCTTCATTCATGAAACATTCGTAAATATAGGAGTAAATTCTGAGTAATTTGCGTGTAAAACAGACCTTCCCAAAAACTCTCCTCCGAATTCACAAACACTTCGTACACATCAGA